ATGGTTTATTGAGCTGTCCAACCCTGCAAGCCAGTGACTTATGAACACTGGCCTGCTCTTTTTGATATTTGAGAGAGAGAGACTTTGATAGAAGATGATTTGAAAATATAATTAGTTGGTCTTTCCATTCTCTCTTTATTATCATAAGAACCCATGGAGTGTGTTTTTTTTTTCCTTTAGATTGCAAACTCATTAGAAAAGATGCTTATAATGAACAATTCAATTAGATTGGCTTTGGCTTGCCTAAAAGCACAAGAAGGGATTAATATTCTAATCAAAAGTCTTAGGGAAATAGTATTAGAATAATAAAGAAAGACAGACAGAAAATCTTCTTTCTCAAGCTTGTGTTCGAGAACCCAGGAAACTGTCAAGGAATATAAAACAACTCCTCCAAAAGCAAGCAATGAGTGCATGGATGTGCTTTGGGCACAGTGAATGAGCCTCTGTGTTTGCCACAGGCTGAAGGTTCTCACCCGACTCGTGGAAAATTTGCTCAGCTGCTTAAGATTATTTTTACCCATCCTTCAGAAGAATAGCAGCCTGGAATTTTTAGCCTTTTATTGCTAACATAAAGAACTTACCAGTGAAAAACTTTTTTTACTCTCTCATGCTTTCTCTACCATTGGCTATTCTGAGTCAGTGTTTGCCTTGCTTTCGAAAATAATAGTAAAGATTCAAATAAAACATGTATTAAACACTATTTGAAACATATTCCCAGTACTTTCACATTATCTCATTTAATTCCCACAATAATCATATGCAATAAGAGTCACCATTCTAATCTGACAGATGAGGAAACTGAGGCTCACAGTGAAATGAAGTGACTTACCCAGAGCTACATGGGTTTGTAAATGACACAGGATGATTCCATTACGATCTCTTAACTCCAAATACATATTTTTCCCCGTAGGGGCAAAAGATTGCTATGGAATCCATGTACACCCACAGAGCCTGGATAAAAGCTATAGCAAGATCTGGTATAGGATAAATAGGAAGAGGTCACTCCTTTGTGGATTTTTAAATCATGGTTAGATTTTAATTTTTAACTGATACATTAAAATCGTACACATTCACGGGGTACCATGTGATGTTTCAGCATATGTTTCTATGGTGTAATGCTGAGATCAGGTTAAATATATCCATCTCCCCAAAGATTTCTCTTTTTTTTTCCTGACAAAAACATTCAGAATCCTTTTAGCTTTCTGAGATGTACGTGATCATTATCTAATCACCCCACCGTGCAGCAGCACCCCAGAACTGCTCTCTCCTACCTGACTGTAACTTGGTACCACTGACTCCTGTGTTTTCCGTCAGTGTTCTGCCTGTTCACAGCCCTGTTGTTAGGAAGAGAAGCAGGGGGTCTTTGTTTTCTGGGACTCACAATTGCAGTGTTCCTAACAGACCACATCTCYCCTCCTGCAGCTCTCACCAAAACAGCATCCTTTCAGCTTCAAGTGGGAATGAGCCCCACGCCTTGTCACTCACTTGTCCCCAATCTCAGACAGCTACCAATCTCAGCAGTTCCACTTTTCCCACTTTCCTGAGGACTGGTTCCTCTGGGGAAGCTCATCAGTGGCAGCAGTGCACACTGCAGACTGGCCCGTGTCACCTTTCCATCCAGAAAGGCCCAGGCCATGCTCACACCCAACAGTTCCAGGAGGGTGACGCGAGATTTGTACATTTCAAAAGCAGTTTCCCTAGGTGACACTGCAGACATTGCTGTGGAGGTGAAAGTTCAAGGAGTGACAGTCTCGACTCCATCTGAACAGCTGGCTGGGTGCTTTTCAGTCATCACCTCACCTCAACTCTCTATATGCTCTCCAGAGTCAAAGTGCTCTCTCAATTCTTTTCCCTTTCCCACCAAGCTGGTCAGAGCATCCCACATGCCTCGGGGGTATGGTATAGCGTTCAACACTGGAGAGAGGAAGTGTCTCTAAGGCTTCTGTCCCCCCAGCCAGACTTGAACACTGCCAAGGAGGAGAAGGACTGTGACTTGATTCATTTTGCATCCTGGACACCCACACATAGTAGGTGTTCAGTGACTGTATGATGAATGGTCAATGCCTGCTGAATGCACTAATTACATTTGTGCTTTCTTGGTTTTGCTCTGGTGACAACCCCTAAAATTCCCCTCTCCCTTTCCTGCACTCTCAGATAGGAGGAAATGTATTTCCTTATTAGTTAGGGAATCTTGGTCATTCTACAAATTATTATGTAAAATGTCCTTCTAATTAATATATTCAGTTCTTCGGGCAGAGTACCTTGAGTGATATGCTCATTACAATGATAAATACATCACTGAAGTTTCAGAGTAGATTCCAACACGTGACGTAGTAGTGAGTGTGAATTAGCATGGACTGTGGAAGAGGCTCAGCCCTGCTTGGGAAGAAGCTGGAATCCAAAAACTCTGCTTTTAAATTTTAAATTGGTTCTCAAATGCAAACTTGATCCCTTCCTATTCCATTATATGTTTCAGGCTAGGCAATAAAATTTTATGTCCTCCAAATATAATGGATGCAATCTGATTTATGTGCCCTCAAAGTAGGGTCAAAATAGAGGGGAGAATGTCCTCCTTGCTCTAGCAGCTCAGGTACCCAGTGGATTCTCACACAAYGCGTCCCATGTATTCTGTATTTGGTGGGGGAGGGTCAGGGTGCGAGTGTGCCTTTAAGTCCAAGCTGAGCCAAATATTTACCTCTGACCATATTTTCAGTTTGACCAGGCCCTTTTCAACCTTTGACATTCTTTGATATTTGTAATCCCCCCTCCCCAGGTAAAACCCAGCTGGTCACAACTAGAAGTTAAGAGAAAAGCAAATGGTTAAATTAATCCCTATTGAGGCATAAGTGACTACTAGCCCATAAGACTTTGGTGAAGTAATTAACTCTTAATAAAGAATAATTATCCAAGGAAATTATACTTCTAAATTGGCATGAATTCAATAACTATATTGAAAGGAATGGAAAGAAAGCAAGTAAGGAAGAACTAGTCATACCTCCTAAAAGCCTGGTTGGCCTCTATGAAATTACTCCTTCTTTGTATCTTCTGTTTCCTCCACATGGTGCCAGGGGTCTTTTGAAAGTTTGTTTTTGTTTGCTTGTCCCTCATGAGGCTCAGGTTGACACCGGGTGCTTTCTGTGATACTATGAGGAGCAGTATGTAAACTGGCTTCAGAAGCCCAGTAGAAACTGTTCTCCTCACTCTGTGCTCACAGCATCAAGTTTCAGCTAGTCACTCRTTCCGTTTCCATGGTTCCTTTATCATCTACTCCTGGAATATACCAGAACCTGTAGTAGTAGACAGGATGATTCAAGCARGCCCCTCTCCCACAGCTGACCGGCCACTGGGAAGACAGAGATGTCAGGAYGACTCAAGTGTCCCACCTGTATCCAGAGTTCCAAAGAAACTTGGAAATGTTGGGAAGGCTGCATGTAATGTGATGAAGGGTTGATAGTGCTAGTGTGTGGCTGCTAATGAGTGAAAGGAGACAAAAAGAAAGATTTAGGTTGTACAAAACCAAATGCAAAAGAAGAAATGTTGAGGACATAGAAACAAATAGTTGGAGAGAACTTCACCTACTGAGGGAAGGTAAAAGGCTACTTGGGAACTCTTCTTCTCATGCATTATCTCCTTTGTTATTTGTTGTTATTTTTCCCATGGAACTTGAACATTTCCCAAATACAGAATACATGGATGTGTTGCATGAGAATCCACTGTATACTTTGAAGAAAGGCAGAGGTACAAAATGATATTTTTTGAGGTATCATATTACAAAATAAAAAGGGGTGTCTATTGTCAGTGTTCCAGATAATGATACTTTCTTACACTTCAAATCATGCATTATTTCTTAAAAACCAGCAACTGGGTCTTATCCTTTGCCTCACTCCTTTGTACCAGGATGAACACTCCCCTTAGAATGTGTGTCCAGCTTTTCTGGAGGCCAAGCACAGCCGTGCTAGGCAGACCATGAGTGTCTTGATCTTGTTCCTCTTCTTCCCCAGGGCACATTGCTATGGGGGATGCACAGCCACTCACATCTAGGGATCTGCTCCAGGTTTAGACATAGGATCTATGTGCCAGCACCACCAGCCTGCCTGCTTGTCCTTACCTGTGTCCAGTGCTGCCCTTCCCCTCAGAGCTCACCTGTAGCACACCCTGTGAGGTCACCTTCAGCCTCTTTGGCAGGACTTTCTGGTGGTTTAACACAGAAAGTGTTAGCATGGTGCTCYTCCCGAGAATCTGAGTCTTCCAAAGATCCTACAAAACTGCTGCCATCTCTAGCTCCAGAAACAGCTAGCAGGAATGAATGTGGGAAGATTCGGGATGTTTTGGAATATCTAAGTTGGAAATTACAGAATAAGTAATTATAGCCAGTAGCAGCTTGTAAAACCAGGGGAAAAAAATGCTCTTCCCAAGAGCTGAGCCCTCCCTCCAACCTCTCTTCAAATATATTCTCACAATGACCAGTTTCTCAGTAACTTAAAAGCAGATATTCTGACCACTTAAGGGAAATTTTTATACCTAAGTAAAGATTGTGASATGAAATACATGGTTTGAAGAATATGATACAGCTGTGCCATACTTCTGGGGTTAAAGATAAGTTAATTAGTCTTACTTACCTCAGGAGAAACTTTCAAGTTGTTCTGAATAACTAGATTAATTCAGCAGTGTTTTCTAAGATTTAGATTGTTTTCAGTTCACTTAGAAGCTAGGAATTACTTACTTGTAGGAAAAATATAAAAGCAAAATCTTTAGGCAGTTTTAGTCACATTGGACTCTCACTTCCATGTCTCTGGAGGATGCTTATGAATTCCTGCAAAAGCAGAATATTCTACAGTTAAAGATGCAATCCTAGACYTTTATCAGTTCACAGTCTTTCTTCAGGAAAATGTGATTTAACATGTATTATAAGACTCAGTTTGAGTATGATTGAAAAGTAAAACYGCTGACAATGAGAAGTTAAAATATTTTCCTTTGTTATTTCTGTTTTTTCCCCCCAGGAGCATTTGATATAGCATCTGACACTGTTTCAACTCAAGAAATCAAAATGAACCTCAACTCTTCCATAGATGATGGTATTAAAAGAATCCAAGACGACTGCCCCAAAGCTGGCAGGCACAATTACATATTTATCATGATTCCTACTCTGTACAGCATCATCTTCGTGGTGGGAATATTTGGAAACAGCTTGGTGGTGATCGTCATTTACTTTTACATGAAAATGAAGACCGTGGCCAGTGTTTTCCTTTTGAATTTAGCGTTGGCTGACCTCTGCTTTTTGCTGACATTGCCGCTGTGGGCTGTCTACACTGCTATGGAATACCGCTGGCCCTTTGGCAACTACCTGTGTAAGATTGCTTCGGCCAGCGTCAGTTTCAACCTYTATGCCAGTGTGTTTCTGCTCACGTGTCTCAGTATCGACCGCTACCTGGCCATCGTCCACCCCATGAAATCTCGCCTCCGACGCACAATGCTTGTGGCCAAAGTCACCTGCATCATTATATGGCTGCTGGCCGGCTTGGCCAGTTTGCCATCTGTCATCCACCGAAATGTCTTTTTCATCGAGAACACCAATGTCACGGTTTGTGCTTTCCATTATGAGGCCAACAACTCAATTGTCCCCGTCGGGATGGGCCTGACCAAAAACGTCCTGGGTTTCATCTTTCCTTTTCTGATTATTCTGACAAGTTACACTCTGATTTGGAARGCCCTCAAGAAGGCTTATGCCATCCAGAAGAACAAGCCGAGAAATGATGATATCTTTAAGATCATCATGGCAATTGTGCTTTTCTTTTTCTTCTCCTGGGTTCCCCACCAAATCTTCACCTTCCTGGATGTGTTGATTCAGCTGGGCGTCATACGCAACTGTAAAATCTCAGATATTGTGGACACAGCCATGCCCATCACCATTTGCATTGCTTATTTTAACAATTGCCTCAATCCTCTTTTCTATGGCTTTCTGGGAAAGAAATTTAAAAAATATTTTCTCCAGCTTCTGAAATACATTCCCCCAAAGCCCAAGACCCACTCAAATCTATCAACCAAAATGAGCACGCTCTCCTACCGCCACTCCGATAATTTAAGCTCCTCCACCAAGAAGTCAGCACCACCGCCTTTTGAGATCGAGTGACAAGTCTGTGAAGCAGTCCTGTGAAAGGAAGAGCCAGGGAAACATTCCTCTATAGCACTGCTCTACCGAATGAGCACTCGCCTCTTTTCCGAATGTAAGCAGATCGCTRATTAAGTGCACTGATGCTCCTATTCTAAAGCTCTGAACAAAAGCTTTTCTTTCCCTTTGCCACAAAATGAAGCAAAGCCACGCTTTTCCATGGTTTGCCTTAAACAGATCACCGCTGCTCCCAGAACAATATCACAAACTGGATGGATGTGTTAATTAGGAAAATTTTACCGGCAGAAATGCAATCTCCCATCTCCTCTTGTTCTGTCATTTTTTTTTTTTTATTTCCACATAAAGGTACTTAGAATATGTTCAACCTTCAGAAGAGCAACAGAAGATCCCTGGGAGTTCAAAGTTGCTCTGCCCAGTTTCCGAAGGGCAGTGAAGCTTTGGTGCCTGTTTAGCCATTAGCAACGGTGGTCACTCCTTCCTGCTATTACGCATTTGGAACAAGGATTAGCTAAGCAGTAGTTATCAAGTTTCAGTACCTTTCGTGAAATTCAGTCAGTGTCTTAGAGATCCACACTACCAAAACTGTGCCAGCCAGATGGCTTCGTTGTACAATGTTGTCACTTAAGTCATTGCATAAAAGTTAAAACTATTTGTAAAGCTGTTATCCAGATCCATGGTGGCTCTGTCTTCCTAGTCCTGTTAGTTCTGTTTCATATCTGAGAAATGTGTATAGTTTATGGTTAAAAGATTATATGTCATAAAGTATGCCTTACTGTTTTTTAAAAAGTATATATTCTACATATATATGTGCATCTCTAAACTGCTGTTATTTGATTAAAAGCTGGAAAAGTTATATTTACCTTGAAATAAAATAATTTTATTGTAATGTATCTAGTGTTCACTACTTAATAGAGATGCTTATTTATTTTTAAAATAGGATAAATGTGGATAAGAATGATTGTATTTTCATTTAAAGTTTCACTCAACTGATAGCTTAATTCCGCTAGGTATCAATTTTTGTATCCCACCATTGAAAAGACAAAGAAAATTGTTCCCTTACTGAACAACATGGAATAAACACACTGTGTTGAAATTTAGTTTTCCATACAATAGCAAAAATAATTCTTATTTCTTATAAAATTTAAATAATACATTATTTGGGGCTGGGGATATAGCTCAATTGGTAAAGTGCCTGCCTTGCATGCACAAGGCCCTGGGTTCAATCCCCAGCCATAAACACACAAAATAATAATAATAATACATAATTTTATTCATGAATTTTAAGTGGGATTTTTCTAATTACATATGTGATCATTGTGGGAAATTTAGAAGACATAGAAAAGCATAAAAAAAGTCATCTTTTAGTTTCCCAACTCAAAAATGATCATTTTAATGTTTTTGCCTACTTCCTTCTACTTTTTTGTATTCATACACATATACATATATAAATTATGACACTGGAGTCATAATGCATACAGAATTTTGTGTACAAATTTTTTTTTGGATTAACATGATAGCATGGTAGTTTCCTAACCCATTAAATATTTGCTAAAACACTTTAGTATTTTCACAATGTTACAAAATACAGACACACCCTGATGTAGTTAGCTAGTCACCAAATTGGAACATTTAGCTTTTTTCAGACTATTTTTCAGTGTCATAAATCACACTGAGATGAGCCCTTGAGCGATGAATCTGATAATTCCTCACCCTCCTCMACGTGGCCCAACTGAGTAGACACTCTGAACATTTTCATATTCTTAATACACATTGCCAAATATTTCCCAGAAACTTGTAATAATTTATAATGCCACCAACTGTGTGTGAATGGATCTCACCACAGCCTCAGCACCAAGGGGTGCTAAGTTTAAGCAAAAACAAGAAATTTACTGGAAGGATCCAGGTGTGGGCCACAAGGGTAGGGATGGAACCGGGCCTGAAGAAGCCCTGGTCACATAAGGTTGCCATGGGTGGTTGCCACCTTCTCCACCTGTCTCTCTGCTCCTGTGTGGCCCATGGGGTCAGGGGCAGGGGTAAGCTGGTGTTCTCATTCTGTTCTATAAATTGCAGCCAAAGGATTCAGGTGACCATAAAACAGCTGGCGGAGGCCCCGGGTGAAGAGGTCATTCAGAGAGGCCTATTATTTTTTAATTTCACTAACATAATGCCTGCCACTCATTCCAAGTTTTCTTTATTTTCATAAAGAGATTAACTCCCAAAATTAAATTTCAGCTCATCCCAAATTATAGTATAAGCTTGTCCTATTTGAAATCCCTTCAGGTCAGCTTCCTAACAGTTTACCCTTTTTTCAACAATTATTTGAATCCAAGGGGGTGCAAGTACTTTAAACTTGCTGAACCATTTGATAGGTTATAGCTGAAGCAATTTCTGAAAGGTAGTTGTATTCAGATATCCTCCAGCTCATGTATTTAGTAACTGATATGAATTTCACATTGCTTATCTCATTTTTGTTTTAATTTCATCAAATTATATTGTCATTTTACCCCCATCTCTTTTTGTGAAATATTTATAACCTTGAAGATTATTCTTGCTTTTTCAGTAATACCACCTAACATTGAAGTTGAGATTCACTTACCAAACTGTCAGGAGAGGAGGACATGATTCATTCTTCATGAACATGTGTAGAGTTTAGGTACAGTTCTTATTTGTGGAATATTCTTGAAGTTTATGCAGAAAAKGCTATGTTCCATAAAGATCTAGATAGATGCCCAGCAGGATTCAAGTGGTATATCCTAAATCCATCTTTTCAGTCAATAGAATCATTCATAAGTTCAATCACTTTTATATGGTTTCCTACTTTGTGCTGGGGGAATAGAGTTGTGTCACACATAGCATATAATGTGTGCAAGGCCTTTCAATCAGCTGCAGCAGGCAAAATGAAAGAGAGCCAAGTGACAAGTACTTKATTGCCAAGCTAAGGAAAGACTGGCACAGTTTGATAACACAGATTTTCAGTTTCATTACTCTGCATATTGCTGTAGTTTTTCTCCAACGGATRCATGCCAACCTGGAGATCCAGAGAAGAGAAAACCAATTTAAGGAGGTCATAAAAGTGGTAAATGAAAGAAAATAACCACCCTGAGATATTTGGAGATGAGATTCCCTAGGGTAGAAAAAAGGTAAATCAGGAGAAAGTGAGACAGAGACTGAGGAGTGAACAGGAGGTCTCCCAGGGTTCAGACCACGTGGGAGAGCTGCAGGGCCCTGGGGCTATGTTGGGTCTGAACCCAAACCAACCAGAGGTTGTATTAGCAGCCATGTCTCCCATGCATGGAAGAAGCAATCTGCATTGAGAGGGAAGTGAACAGAAAAGGTAGAAGAGCCCTGATGCCCTTMTGTATCCCTAGCTACCCCCTACTTTGGACCCAACCTCCACATCTTTAACTGAGGGATCCACAGCTAAGATCTGCAGGCATTTCTTTCTGCTTATGATTTATAAGAATTCACATTTTCTAGTGTGCAGCACATCATTCATTGGCTATACAGGAGGAGTTACATTGTGTAAGTCCCAAAACTTCTCCATCTCTACCCAAATAAGGATCAGGTGGACTACCCCTTTTTCGTATGTCTCCTTGTAAAAGAGTAAAAGCCAGGATATCTCATAGTGTGTGTGTTACAGGGGAAGGGGTGTGGTGATGTAGAAGGACACATACCCAGCTGGGACTGAAGTTACTACAATACCTACTATTATCTCCCCCTTAGTGAAATACTATTTTGTTGCCTGCATATTATAGTAAAAATGATTTAGACTATGAAGTCATAAAATAGAGAAAATGAGTACCACACACCTTGCTTCCTGGACCCTCCTCACTAGACAGGGTTCTGGGAGTTCTCTGGATCTCATAGAACCAGCAAGCATAGCATTCTACCTTGCCAAATTCAATGGAAAAAGCCATCCATTCATTAAGCCAAACCCCCTTGCTTAGGAAATGAAACAACTGAGGTTAAAACAATTTTCATAATCAAAAAGAATCAGAATCAGAAATCCTGTTAGTGCTCCCTACCACTTTTTTTCCCCAAAAGACAGTAGCTTAAAATGAGACAATTTAGTTCTAATAATAGTTCATTTTAAATCATTCATACACAAGGAAGCATTGAATAAATATGCCTCTAAGAATTTAAAGACCTTAAGATTTACCCTCCAAGCAGCGTGATAAAAAAAAAATATTTATCTATACACACAAGAGATATAAATTTGGTGAATAAATGATGTTAATTTCAAACTATTAAAAGCTAGTTTGCTATTGTGATTACTTTGCTTCAAGAATCTAAATGATGATGAGACATGTGTACCCTGAGGCCTAGGTCCTGATTCTTTCCAAGTCCTATAGAGCTTATTTTGAAAAACTAAACAAGATGAAAAAATAGAGATTTGGGCTGAACCTCCAAATGAATTGGGATATATCTCGTGGGACTTCTTTGCCATGCCTGATAAAGCTCTGCTATGCCATATGGGCACATACTGTTGCTAAAAGATAATTTTCCAGAAATAAACAAATAAGGTTCAATCCTCCAAATGGCAGATGGAAAGCAGGATGGTGTTAGGCAACAGGGAGAAGCAGTGCCAGAGGTCACCAGAGCAGAGCATCCCCCACACTGACTGCTGAGCAGACCAGCTGGGGGTCAGCCAGCTCTGAAWGACACAAGACCCCCAGTGGAGGTCCCATTCTGACCCATGGCCACTGCTGCTGCAGAGAAGCTTCTGAGCARTACCCATGAACATGAAGCAGAGTGCATTAGCCAGAGGCTATTCAGGCTATTCTCTTACCATGCCACTGCAATTCTTTCTTGTTCAYATAGTAAGTGGAAAATAGGGGGAAAGACTTTTCCACTGACATCACCTTACAGCTATTCCTTGAGTGGTCCTGTTCCATCTTCTCTCAGAAATGTCCCCATATTTCCACATGGGTGCTTACTTTTAGTGCAGTTGAGCATGGGTTTCCYATCAAAATTACCCACCCAAACCCAATTTTCTTTGAATTTATGATAGCTATCCTTCACCAAATTCCTACCATAGAACAGGCATAGAAGTCTCTGCCTAAATGCATTCTATTATTCAGTCCTCACGACAATGTCATGTCCATTCAGTTGTTATTCAATGAGACAAAAAGAAGCTGAAATCGTGTATAATCTGTTCAATCGAACGTGACTGGTAGATGTAAGAGTTGAAATTTGACTGTGTTTCTAGAATTTGTGCTCTTAATTGCTATTTTTTATTTTTATTTGTTATATATGACAACAAAATGCATTACAATTCATATTACACATATACAGCACAATTTTTCATATCTCTGGTTGTACACAAAGTAGAATCACAGCCTTCATGTGTTCTTACATGTACTTAGGGTAATGATGACCATCGAATTCTACCATCTTTCCAACCGCCATTCCCCCTCCCTTCCCCTCCCTCCCCTTTTCCTTTTTGCCCTATCTAGAGTTCCTTCAATCCTCCCATCCCCCCACCACACACAGTATATTATGTATCAGCATCCAGAGAAATCATTCGGCATTTGGTTTGGGGGGATTGGCTAATTTCACTTAGCATTGTATTCTCCAGCTTYATCCATTYACYTGCAAATTCCATGATAAATTATATTGCCATATTCCACACCCTCCCTGCCCCAAAAGTGGCATCATGAGTTATGAATCATGTCAGTACCCCCCAAAATATAGTTTGTACCTATCTATTTGAAATCAATATAATATTTAACTTTGTCTTAGGCCACATTTACTGGATTTCAAGCTAGGATTTCTACAGTCTTTGTCCTTGAAAAGAGCTCACTAATGGAAAACACCAWTTGACCTTAAACACCATTG